TGGGATGAAATCCAGCTGCTGTCCTGAGCTAAACTGAGGCTTTAGCTCAGCAGTGCATTCGCTTGACAAGTCTGACAATCCTATTTCTACCATAACTCTGGTGGAATTTCTCCTCAGACATAGCCCTTCACTAGTGTATACGCTGTGCCTGCTTAGTTAAGCAAATATGTGTCTGGTGGGCTCATTCATGTATGCAAACAAATGCACTGTTAAGATAAAGCATCGGCTTAATTCAAGACAGCAGCTGGATTTCATCCCCAATGCTTTCATAAGCACAGCATTTTATCAGCACTAAATACTTCTCACCTTGATACAACAGGGGACTGGACTCGATGACCTCTCGAGGTCCCTTCCAGTCCTATAATCTATGATTCTATAACTCTTCAGAGCCGAAAAGTGACGCCATCCTTTCTGGTAGGTCAAGAGGGAGGGACTCCCACAACTTACGTTTGAGTATTAACTAAGCAGGCACATCGGACAGACTAATTGAGAGAGAGATTTGAAGAGAACTCCCACCCGAGTTTTGGTAGAAATGTGGTCCATCATATAGATATAGGTATAGATATCAAACACACGTTTGGATTCCAGTCTTTGCTTGTGGCTGTGCTCAGGAATGGGTGTTAAGAATAGGAAGAGCTTCCTGGTTGCACTGGAGTTTTCGCTAATTCCGCAAAGGCAGGGGTTGGCTTGAACATAGCTAGTGCAGTAAAATGTTTAGCTTTTTCTCACGTAAAAATACTGTGGGACCATATCTTAAAAAACACACAAATGGGCTGTAGTTACTTCCAGGGAAATAATATCACCTGGTTCTGGTGACAAACCACAAGCATTTACTTATGATTTATTACCCTGACCCCTTAATGAAATTATAGCCTTGATAATACTTTAATTCTTCTATATTTGCTTGACATATATTCTGACGCTCCTTCTGTGTTTGTATCACTGTGTCAGACTGTAAATTCCGCGGGGCAGGGACTTTGCTTCTTATTTGTAAATCACTTGATAATGAGGTGTTCTTCAACACTGCTGTCAATGTATGGGCACCTAAGCATTCATAGGGTGTTTTCAGCTCATCCTCACCAGAAAGTGTAACAAATGGACCTGCTACCTCAAGCCTATGAGAACAAGACAGGGCTTTGATAGGTGAAAAAGGAGAATAAAGTAATCGCAAAAGGTAAATCTCAGAGTTTGATATCCATTGGAAGACAGCAGTTCCCGATGTGATTCCCACACAATTCCGTATTGTTTTAATAATGCATAGGCCACCTGTTCGGCTACTTTACATTTCTAATTCCTTTTCTGTGCTGAAATCTTCATCAGTATCTTAGGTTTGTCCTACCCATGTTTCGGATCAAATGGTGGTGTAAATAATAGAGCATTTATGTAAAATTTAGAAATGGAGCTAGTTATTTGAGTTCCAAGATGGAACTTTATGTAGGTGGGTGAGAAATCACAGGAGTTTTGCTGACTCCAATACACCCTGATTTCCTTCACCCACCCGGTGGTTGTGATTTGGAGCATGTAATAGGGTTTAGAAATTTTCTTTCACCTGCTCTCAATTGTACCACAAGGAAGCAAAAGTAAGGTACACATAATTTCATGCACGGCTAGGAATTGTCATCACCTCTAGGGATTGGATGGTAATGGTCACAGTTTCAGGCTAACTACTCCTGTATTCCTACCCACTGCCCCCACAGTCTACTCCAAGAGTGCCCAGTCAGGTCTCATGTCTCCAGCCTGCCTAAAGGCAAGCACCAGTGCCTTGCTGTCTCTCCAAGGGCTATGACCAGAGGTACAAGTTACTACACAGATCTTTCTCAGCAAGCACCTTTATTCTTAAGGTAAAAGCATTACAGTGAAAACGTATTAAAAAAAACTAAAAGTTCCTGTATGCATGTTGAAAGCTTACCAGAGGCCATCAGTCTTACAAGGCCCTAGTAGGCCAAAGTCTTTTCAACCCCTTCTGCAAGGGTTGGGAGCCCCCTTGGACAAAAAGTCCTGTCCATTTGCTGGATCACAAAGAAGGCCCTGACTCCGTTTAATCCCAGCCTTTTTATATTAAAAGTCCTTTCTTCGTCTGTTGGTCTCAGTTTGAGACCGCATATGCGAGCTCCCCAGGGGTGGTACCTCCCGGGGGTGGGGGGGGCGGTTTACAAGTTGAGTGATTCCCCATAATCATCCCTTGCACACACACACTGTTCTTCGTTTCTGGCGGAGCTGTGGCAATCCTCCCTATCTGGAGTTGCATCCATAAACCATCCATATGCTTAACACAATATGGTCCCCAGAGATACTGCCTGCAGTTGCAGTAATGTACTACAGAACTCTGCCAGCTATCAACAGTCTTCACTAAATGAGAATTACGGGCGATGACTATAGACGTCTGAATCTGATCTGCTACGAGGATGTCTTGACAGTTTTTAGTGAAGCCTAGAGAGGAGACATGTACATACAAAGCTGTAGGTTCTAGAATAAGAATGAGATTTCAGTGGGTGTGAAAATGTATGTTCTCTGAATCAAATTTAGAAGGCAAGCTAATGGAGACTTAGCTGGTGTAATTAAGACCTTTTTTCCACTTCCCTCAGCGTGTAATCTTTTCCCTTTAGACTCTCCCTCATTTAGACACTTGGATGCAATGAGCTAAATTCAGAGGTGACCTAGTGTCAGATGATCAGATGGAGATCCATGTGCTCAGCGGTACAGTCTTGAGGGGTTTTGTTTTTGTTCGGAATTTTATTGCAAGTCTGCATGGTAGAAGTGACCTCAATTGCAGCAGCACTAGATAAATTATCTACTGTCCTAGTTCAAATTGTTTTCCCTCCGAGCTTAGATCTCATGCTGACATTTCTCTTAATTCTAAAACATTCAGTGGCTGATGCTAGACAGCCCCAAAAGGAGAAGCAAGTGTCACAAAGTAGCCTTTGATGTGAGCTACAGTAGTTCAATTATATCATCTCCTAACGCAATCAGAAATGGTCCTTGCTTCTTGAAGCAAGGAGCCATCCTAGTACTAGTAACAGCAGAGCTATTGCATGAAATAATTGGGTACTAGCACCTTCCTGCTGGCAACTGCATTGCAGGAGATTTCTTTTCTGCTCTGTGAGATATTGTACGATTTACTCTTTGAACAGGTCTACTATTGGGGAGGAAATTCTCCTTTCCTGGAGCCCGGAGGGCATTTATAAGTTAGGCATGCATGCTCCCACACTCCATCCCTGCCTTCCTGATGGCCCCTCTCTGCCTCACTTTCCCTGGCCCAAAACACAGCAGCACTGCGGACAGGCAAGAGATATTGAACAGCTACGTAGAAGGGACATGGGGAAAAAGTGGGATTTGAAGGAGAGAGATAGGGGAGAGGAGCTGTCCTCTGACAAAATATTTATTGATGTTCTGTATTAAATGTAGTAACCTGGTTAGCTCTCTAGGGACTCTCCTCTTCTCCCACTTTCCCCTGTGCTAATCCCACCTCTCCTGAGATGTTCACAAGGACTTGATGGAATTCTGCTAGAGGTGTGCTGCTGCTGCCGTTTAAATCTGCCCGAGGGCTCGCTATTGAGTAACGAAGGGGAGCTCTTTCACGATATCCAGAGACTGCTGAGCAAGCGACAGCTGTTGCCCATAGGGAGTGAGAGTGGGACAAGCAGTCAAATCAGAGTTTCACGTGGCCATGTAAAAAAATGGCCTGATGGTTACTGGCCCAACCTCTGCCTCTTGCTAATTCATCTTTCATAAGTTCATCTTTTGTTTCTGCCACTAGATTGTTTTGTGCACAAGAGTCCTAAGATTTTATTCTGTACTACTAGGGAGGAACTCAGACTTCCTGATTTTGTGGGTTTCTATGTAGACGTTAATTAGGTTGTCTACCTCAAAATGCAGAAAACACTTAAACTTAATTTGTGCTGTCTATCATATTAACATCCGTTAGCTAACAGGCAGGATTCCTGTAAACCACAAGCAACTCTCCGGAATAAACATTATTTAGAGCATGTAGTTCTGCCAGTGATCTAAGACTAGCAGTTTAATGCAGAATTCCCATCTCGAGCCTGATGCAGCGTGATGTTCCCCCCCCGATGTGGTAGCATTAAGCCTGCCTTAGAGAGCTGGCTTTAAGGATGGATTTAGAGTCCAGGCTCTGGCTTGGTGGAGAGCAGAGTTAATTGAGGAACTAATCCATTTGAGGGAAGAGGGCAGGCTGACCGCACACGCCGTGGTATTAGCTCCTACTGCCTATCTCTTGAATGACATTGATTCATGACAGATATTGCATTGCTCTGCTGCTGGGAAGGAAAGGTATAGGGAACACTAATCAATATCGGTTGAGAACGACAGAGCCTTCAGCATTCAAGATAACAAAATGTGTGCATTTCCAATCTAACCCCTGCCCCAGTAGAGGGTAGCCTTCCTTTCTTGCTCCATGGTGTTCCTGAAACTCTGGTTTTTCTTTTTCGGTAGCCAGTTTAATTTGACTTTTCAAAGGAAATGCAATGGGTGTGGGATTGTTTTTAAAACAGCTCCATTGAGAAGCTACAGAGAGCATACAAGAGCGTAGCCCCATTGCTGACAGCATTCAAGGACACAGCACTCTATGCATGGGGTCGGAGGTAATGACTGAGGACAGGTGTCCAGATTTTGCTCAGCTGTGGGTTGCCATGGCAGCTTGCCCCAAGTTTAAGAGCTGCGGCTAAATTATGTAAAATAGGGCCAACGGCCGCAGCCCTTATTTGCAATACTGCGAGGCCCCCACCTGACCATTCTCTTCTCAGATCAAGAGGGAAAATTGCATGCTGGGATATGTTGTTTGTAACAGGCACATCTGCATATTAACTATGAATCCAACTTCTTTTGTGGAGCTGAATGTGTCAGTACAACCCTGTTATTCTTTGTCCCTTTTCCTTGATGCCTCTTTCCTGGCTTTTTATACAAAAGAACTCCGGGATCTAAATACTTCATACAGATAATAGAATAAAGCAAAGGTTGTAAGTGGCTGAACAAATCAATACCATTAGTGTATCCTTTTGTCAGTACCTCAAATACTGTATTATTCCCAATTGTTCTTCTGAGACAGGGCGATTCATGCTAATTAGGTAGAGCAGCTGTTGTTTCTGGGAACAAGCTGTATAGGTGGATTTGAAGAGCACTTTTAACAAAGAAATTGCAACTCTTCTGCTAGCTCCCAAGGTTCCAGCTCTATTGAGAAAACTGCAGATCTCCATATCCATAACCATTTGCATTGTGACCTCAAGTGACATCATTACTTAAAGTGCACAAAGCTATTTTCTTCCCTTGGGAGTTCCCATTTCCTTTCCGATTGTGTCTGTACTGTGTGCTGGGGGAATGAGTAATGCGGAAGCAGAAGCACGGCGCAATATAGCACTGCTATTGATTGTCTTCATGATGATAAAAGTGCAGTCTACCACTTGGAGGCCTCCTGGGGATGAGAGGAATTTATTTAAACATAATTTCATGTGTTATTACTCCTTCCAGTTGTAACAAATTGTGCATACAATTTATTGTAGCATCCTTCTTGCAAAGTATCTCAAGACTCTTTGTGAGGAGGGGGAGAATATAAAGCTCGATAGATTTTGGGACAGTGGGCCTCATGCAGGCAGCATGGGGATATGACGGTAAAAAGAGGCCACTTCCAAACGTAATGGTGATGCAAGAACTCTTGCAGGTTAGTTGGAGTTGAGAGACTGGAAGGAAGCAGTAAAGGGAAGCAAAGAGGAGGTGAGTGGAATTTAGTGTCGGTCATAGACTCAAGTGAACAGGAAAGTTGTGAAGTGAGATTGGAAGAGAAGAGTGACTCCCTGGAGTTCTGCAAGGTCCAGAGGAAGTCTGGGTTGGAGGAACAGGGCAGGCAGGTGAGAGTGAGGGGCAGCTCGATGAGAAGAGGGAGGTGCAAATTAATGTTATAATCCAGGAGTGAAGCCACTGAAGTGGATTAAAAGATTGGTAAGAAGCTAGTGAAGAGGAGGGTGCTGATATTCCTAATTATTTATATAATACTCAAAAATGTGCTAGGCACAGGAGAAGACAGACTCAGAAACTCCTCTTTTTGACACAAGTACTCTTAGAAATTAATCAGAGAAGCCAAATATGTATTTTTACTTAATGAAATTAAATGAAGGGTCCATGGTGAAAACAGAGGACTGGAAGGAGGTGTCCTAAGTGCAAAGTATCATTAAAATCGCAGTCAAGGAGGAAACTTACCACATCTATGGAGAACGAAACACTGCAGGCAGCACTGCAGAAGCAGCGAGCAGGGATGCCAGTTATACCCAGAGTGCAGGTAATGTGGCATATTTTACCCTCATTACTTTTTTTCCATATAGTAAAGGTAATATTGCTGAAACACCCTGGAGAGACCTAAAGGGGGCTTCCCACCACTATACCTCCGCAATGACTTGGAGAGGGCAGCTCTAGCTGGGTTGATGGGATAATTTATTTCATTCAATCCATGGCGCCTTTGCTGAGACTGCCACAAAAAAGAAGGAAGGGGAAAATTAGCACCAATTGTTCTGGCTTCTGTGGTCTGAGCTCCCTTGGAAGTGGGATCCACTAACTCATTTTGCATAGCCCACCCATTGGGAATGTTTCACCCTTAGCCTGAATTACCCAGATGTTATTTCTCTATTGTAAACTCAGTGTTTTCTAATGTCTTCTTAAGTAGGTGAGCATCTCAGTAGGACCCCTCGAGGGAGGCCAGTAGAACTCTGTGTAATTAACATAAACTAGCACCAGAACAGACCACAGCATCTGCAGACCCTCATTCAGTGCAAACATTTTCTGCGTTTCATTCATGAGAGATGAGTCTATCTGACAGTTGATCAGATTTGTTCTCTCCTTTTTCCTTCTCTACACCGCGTGTTCAGTTATTAGCAGCCTGCGACCCTTCATGGCTATTGGTGCCAAAATGCTGGGCCAGCAGATAAGGATTGCATTGAGTAGGAATAATATGCACTTGTCAAAGAAAGGAGATTGCTATTCTTGGCTCTTAACTACCGTTCCCAGGCAAAGACGATGCTGACGGTACCCTAGAAACATTCATGTCCTCCCTCTGAAATCACAGAGGATCCTATGTACTGAAAATGAAGGAGGTGTGATATAAGCCAGCTGCCATTACACAAGGTCACAGTGGCACTAACCCTTTCATACTGTGGACCACTTCTTAATTATTTATTTGTATTACAGAAGTGCCTGAGAACTACAGTCTCTCCTTTTAGCCAGCATCTACCTCTGCTAAGCTGTCTCCAGGCCACTTTGCAGTCCTGTCCTGCCCTTCTGTGCGCTACTCCCCCTCCAATCTTGGGATCAGAAAACGTTATCACTGATTTAAGAAGAAATGAAGCAGCCACGCAGGGGGCAAAAAGTGAGTTGATGGGGTGCTAGTCATTTATCCAAAGAAGCCTCTGGACACTCAAGTGTCCTGGACTAACAAAGTATCTGTCAGACATGGACAGATGCTTCACCATTGAACAGAAGCAGCTCTGAGGACCACAGTCTGAGAATTGCTGCAGCCTGCATCGGCTGCGGTCATTTTATGCCAGTGCAAACAGTGAGCCATCTGGCTACTTTCCTCCTTTCCTTTCCTACCTTGCAAACTTTTTGCAAAACTCCGTCCTCTTTCTAGCCGGCCTAATTTTTTAGGAAGTGGGTCTTGTTGAAAGAAAATAAAGCACTTCTAGATGCCACCTATTTACCAGAGACCAGATTTGTAAAAAGCGATAAAATCACTGCAGTAATTGGACAGTCTCCAGTTCAATTAATCCATTCCTCAAGTTGTTAATCGCAGCTCTCTCAAGAGGTTCCACTTACTATCTGCGTCAAGGCTGACTAGCTTGTGCTGGTGGAAAGGGTTTATTACATCATTCATAGAAATGACGCATCACAGGTAGGGATAATGCAAAATAGCTCTAGGTTCCTTTGCGTGCACTTGCGCACACCCCCATTTCCAAAGGGAACAACCAGAAATGATGAAAATAAAACGCCAGGCCAAAAGAGAACATCATAAAGTCTTGTAATAACGGCTTCCAAACAACCAGTAGCAGTAGCTTAGTCCATTATAAATACGTGGGATCCTGCTTCATTAGCGTGTTAACCAACAGACAGGACTTTCTGCCCGGAATCTCACTGGGTCAGATCATGGACGAGACTTCAGATGGGACTTCTATTTTGGTGTTGTGATTGACCCCTGAGCAGAGGGGCACATGTGCCAAAACCAAGTGCAGCTTTTGGGTGGGAGGGATAGCTCAGTGGTTTGAGCATTGGCCTGCTAAACCCAGGGTTGTGAGTTCAATCCTTGAGGGGGCCACTTAGGGATCTGGGGCAAAATTGGTACTTGGTCCTGCTAGTGAAGGCAGGGGGCTGGACTCAATGACTTTTCAAGGTCCCTTCCAGTTCTAGGAGATAGGTTATCTCCAGTTTATTTTTTTTCTCCTAT